TATGTTCTGTTGTTTTGCACTTAGATAGAATGGGTCGTCATCGGGCGAACAGAAGATCATTCTATCAGTTACTTGAGAAACAATAATTATGGTTCACAACCTAGATAGAAATGAATAACCCATCCGAATGGTTGTAATGTCAACAGTACAGTTGGTCTTGACTGATTAGTTGCACAATACATTTATGCATTTAAAAGGATCCCAAAGAGGAGAAGTTCGTTTTATACTGATCGTCGTAGAAGAATTAGGCCTTGGTTAATTAATGCGTTCTCTTAACTCGTAAGATATTAAACAGACATATATATGCAATACATATTACTTTGATTCACTTGGGTGAGGTTCAGTTCGCTGGATTAATATTCCTAATTTCTTGGGTAATATTGTTGTATGTATGATGTGCTATTATAATATTTACGGTCACCAGGTGCGTTAGTTTGATGATATCCCCGAAGTGAGTTCATGAAGGATTGTTATGCTTCGGTGAATCAAGTTATGGCATAATAATAACGTGATGACGAGCGCTAGCTTCGGTGAAATAAATAATATATTAATTAATTCCTGATTGTTAGTAATCGAATTAATTAATAGACATTATATCTTAAGCGTGGGGAGGAAAATCGAGTAATCATAATTGGAGTCTCAAATGTAATTTGGGCTAGGACAAAGTGAGTGCAATAATATTACATTCGTGGACCATAATATTATTTAAGTAATTGGAAGAGTGAGTCTGGCCTACAGTTAGCCCATTACTTAAGAAGCCATATTCCTAATCTTCTAAGGATCCCTAATGTAGCTCTGTATATACATCATTAAGCTCATGAGAAGAGAATAGATTATTAGACTCGTGTGAAACACACGACCCCTATACTCTCTCTCTAGATCTCATTCGAGCTGTATCTTCTTCTTGTTTCTCTACTGGTACAAGCTGAAGAGGTGTGTGAGTAATACAGTAGAAGATCCCCGAAGGTAATCGAGACCCCATGATCATCTACAGAAGTCGACGGATCTCAACCCGAAGGTCAAGATCCGCCGATCGCTGCCGCGACCAACCAGAGCATCACCATGATCACCGCGACACGACCGACCATCTCGCGACATGACCTGACGACGCGACACCACCCGTCACACGACCCGATCGCACGCAACACGGCCGGCTTCCGTTCATGTGATCCCTTCCGTTCGTGTGTTGTTCCCAGTCATCTCGAATCCATCAGATTCAGAAAATTTTAATCCGTAAGTTTTCTACGTCAAACCTTTAGATCCGCTGCGCATAGATTTATGTTTGCTATTGAATTCATAACTTGTACATAACGAGATCCTCATAGATCCCAACAAGTGGTATCAGAGCACTTGGTTAATTCGTTTTCTACAAAGTTCGAATTTTTACGACTTTATTTGAAAAGATGTGTTCAAACGCAGACGTATATATATTGGATTATAATCGCATAACTCGGTTTTTCAGGAATGAGTTAATCCACTATTATGGATGATTATGTATTTGATGAATGTTGTTGAATGTAATGTATTGTTTTAAATTTGTTTTTATAGCCTCGGACATGTCGATGAATTGATGGAAGAATGTTTGTAATAATTATGAGCCCGGGGGTTGACCGAATCGAATTAATTATTTGTTTAGAAAACATGTACATCCATTCGTTGGATATAGGATCGAATTATGTAATTTTGTAAATTATATTTTTCGTGTTGTGATCATGTGTTGATGACCGAGAGATCACAAGAGATCAACGAACCTCGAAAAACCAACCGGACCCAGGCCCGAGGGACCGGCGAGCGGAGAAGAAAAAAAACACAGTGACGACGAGATTTTTTCCAATCACCGGCAGGCGGCGGCGGCGGCTGTCCGGCGGCTGGTAGAGATGGTTTTTACTTGTTGCGCAAGCAGTATAATATCTATCAGGATTCCACTGCAGTGGGAGTTCCAGTTGGACAAGGAAAGAAACTGATTAGGTATCAGGATTCTATTGCAGTGGGAGTTCCAGTTGGACAAGGAAAGAAACTGATTAGGTTTTCTTGTTTAAGGAGACTCAATAATTAATGGTCATAATAGTGGATTTATTTATTTAAATTTATTATTCCAATTAATTATTTATTATTTATGCATGTTAATTAATTGTTGCTTTTGCATGGGATTAATTTAGAATTGCATGAATAATTATGCATGGTAATTAAATATTTAGCATGAGATTAATTTAGAAATGCATGACTTATTGTGCATGATAATTAATTATTGCATTTGCAGGGATTAATTTAGAGTTGCATGAATATTTAAAAATCCTCATTAAATAATACTAAGTTTGGGAAGAGATTTTAAATTAAAGTTAATTTCATAATTCCTAAGGCCTCCATTTCTAATTTGTCGTTAAATCAATTAATAGAAGTATGGGCTCCCCCCTCGGGTGACATCACTAAAATTAATTGTAGAAAATTACCAGGATGAATTTCTAATTAGACGATTATAGGAAGTCTTATAAGAGCGTGCGGGTCTCCCCTCGGGGGACTTATAATCAAATTTGATGATCTTAGGATCGAGAAATATGATTCACTTAGAATGCGATTTAATTCATTAACCCCCCTCGGGGTCCCTGAATTTTATTGTATAGCCAAACGGGGACCGACTATTAATTTCGTTTGTCATGAATTTGGTTTTGACTTATGGAAATTAATGGGCACTTGAAAAGCCCTTCTCTGAGGAATGTTGAGTATTTAGGGTTACCCTCGTATCATGCATTACTTATGGTGTTTTGAGATGTCAGTGAATTTAAGTTTATATTGTTTTGAGGATATCAATATTAAAAGTTAAATTCAAAGTGTTTAATCTGTAAAATTTATTTTCATGATTCTCAGGCTATATTCATCATGTCGTTCAATCCGTTGTCTGTCATTCTAAAAGAAAATCAGCTTACTGGTCCTAATTACATTGATTTAGAAGAGGAACTTAGACATAGTATTGACTACTGAGGGCTATAAGTTTGCCATCAATGAGGTTTGGCCGGCAGAGCCCGCGGCTGATGCTCCTGAGCAGAAGAAAGGGGAGTATGCTAAGTGGAAGAAGGCTGGTGAGTTGGCGAAGTGTTACATTCTGGCTTCTATATCGAATGTTCTTCAACATCAGCATCAGTCTATGACCACTTCGGCAGATATATTTCTCAATCTCAGGAATCTGTTCGGACATCAGTCTAGGGCTGCTAGGTAGAAAGCCTTGAGTGCTCTAATGAACATGCGCATGGCCGAGGGCACACCCGTGAGGGAGCACGCCCTAAGGGTCATGGCGCAGCTCAATGAGCTTGAGGTTATGGGAGGTTTTATCGACGGGGAAACCCAGGTTGATATTATGCTACACTCTTTGCCAAAGAGCTTTGATCAGTTTCGGTTGAACTACAATATGCACAAGATGCATATGGTTCTTCCAGACTGTTGGCTAAGCTTCAGTCGGCAGAAGCCTTGTTTACTCAGAACCCTCAGGTGCTAGTCACCGAGCAGGCTAGACCTTCCAGGCCTCACAAGGGCAGGAAGAGAAAGAAGTCTGCAGGAAAGGCGAAGGCACAGGATGCTCTGGTTGCTCCGCGACCGACCCCAGACTAGAAGGTCGACTGCCCTCTCTTGAGGAGATAACTCTCTTATTAATGTTGTAGAAATATGTTTAGCGGTTATATATACCAGAATCTGATGTGTAGATATTAGAGCCACTGATTATGCCCTTTGTTTAGTGATTTCTTGACCAAACCACTACCAGACCCTTTGTTCAAGTCACTACTCTCCAAATTGAGCATGCCCAATATACATGCTCCACTTGAGGGGGGTAATAGAATAATTATGTATTGTACATTATGTTTCAGTGTGTTGTATCTTTAGTTACAATAGAAAGGTTTTATTTGTTATGTAAAAGTGTCACTACTCTTTGAAACTTCTAGTTGTTTTACATTTGTATATAAAGGGTATAGAAACCCTAAAGACACGTTGATCCATTCATTCATTCTATACAGCCGCATTTTTCTTTTTCTATTTGAGTTGTCTTTAGAGTGTGTAAGTCTCTACCTCGTACTAAGATAGATATATATGGTCGGAGCTTGGGATAAGACTTATCAATCACTTAGCTTAACTTTGTTTTCGCTTGCGTCCCTACAGTCTTCTCTATTTTCTTCTACTTGAGACAGCTGACTGATGTTCATATATTATACGTTTCTCTTTGACATGGTTATTGGAAGTTTCTTTCGCCATACATTCTTTTCTCCTGAAGGGAACGAATCAACAAATAAAATGTTATTAAGACCAAGAAATGGACAAAACACAGATTATTTATTAGTTCACATAGTTTTTCAATCTTCAGTGTTGACTTTGTAACCTTATTTGTTATCTTCACCATATATGTGGGTGAGATAGTCAACATTAAACTACATAATACAAACCTATTGACAAATATTGACTTTTTATAATAATACTACTTATTTTAATTTATATATACCTTTTAATTTTTTTCGTGATGTATAATAATTTAATATTTTATTAATGTGTATATATAATAAATCAAAATTTATTAAATTTCATCACATTCCCTTATGATAATTGAATAATTATTAATTAACTCCATTACAAAAACATATCTTTTGAATATTTTTATTTATTCCGAGCCATTGATTCATAAAGAAGTTGACAGACTGTTCATTATTTTATAAATAACAATTTATTATTCATAATATTTTATTGAAGGCTTGTCGATTGTATAACGCATACCTAGATCACAATAAAAGAAAAGGTCAACAAAATGCAGCACCTAGATAGAACAATATTCTTAGTCAAACGTAGAAGATGAATTGAGTTGGTTTTGCTAAAAAAATAACTATTTTAATTACTAGATATCCTTATGAAGTCCAAACTGGGGTGCTCGGGAGGTTGAAATTTGTGTAAATTTAGGAAATAGTAGCTGCAGTAAACTTGGACTAGGTAGCCTATAAATTCCACTGCAACTTCATGCTGTTTTCACCACACTACTAAGCTACTCAATTAGTTTAGTTCCATAGTTTTATTTAATAAAAAAATTATTTTCCGTTTTTTCTTTTTTTTCACAAAGTAGCTAAACAAAAAACATGGGTCTCTTCAAACACACCAACGAATTGAAGCTCCGTGTATCGGCCAAGAGGATGTACGAGGCCATGGTTACCGAAACCCATACCATCCCCCTGCCGCCAGCCATCAAGAGCAGCGAGCTCCTCCATGGAGACGGCGGTGCCGGAAGCATTAGGAAGACAAATCTTGCTGATGGTTAGTATCGAACTATAACTAATGATATATACTATTTTTAAAGATGAATTACTTAGACAGTGTATTCAATTGGGATTTATAAAGACTTCTTAAGAGTTTAAAAATATTGGTGTATACAATTTAGATTTGTTAAGACTTTTAAAGGTCTTGAGATATTCAATTGATATTTTAAAAAGTCCTACAAAATCTTGAGGTATTTAACTTATTTTAGACTATGATTTGTTGTGACTTTTTAACATTTGGTGGGATTTCTAAAGAAAAAAACCTTATACGAAAGTTTACTTCAAATCTCACCTCCAGACTTAAGATTTCACAGATTTTTTCCAAAATCTGAAAATCTTAAAAAATCTCAAATCTTATTAATAGGTATCAAAATGTCACTTGAAATCCTAATTGAATACACTACTAAGAGCATCTCCAATGTGGCTTTTGACATTATAAAAATTCATCCATATCATCAACTTTTGAAAGTTTATTACTAATTTATTCTCCAATGCATCTTGTCATTAGCTCTTTCATGATGAGGTGGATAGCATTTAATGTTAACAATGTTGAACACACTTTCTAATATCTAACACCATGTTAAACATGATGACTAATCAATTCACTTCATATTTGATTTAATTTTTTAATGTTCTTGTATTAATGATTATTTTAATTGGTCCACCTATACAAATAACTTCTTATGAAATTGATGCATTGGAGATACTAGTTTGATTCAAATTTCTACTCTTTTAACATTATTCCTACATGGATTAACATTACAATCATTGATTGACATGTGTTAAAAATTATTGTCTTTCAAAGCTATAACATTGGAGATGCTCTAATAAATGGGTTTGGAGCAATTAATGAAGAGTAATATGTTGCTTATTTGCACCAATTAATGAACTCATGTACTACGCATGTTCCTTGTTGTGACATGATAACAGGTAGTCACCTCAAGGAAAGGATCGAAGCCCTCGACAACGACAAATACGCGAGCAAGCACACAGTGACAGAAGGAGCTATGCTTGGGGAGAAGCTGGAGTCCATTCACTATGAGCAGAAGTTTGAGGACACAAAGGAGGGGTGTGTTGTCAAGATAGTGAACGAGTACCACACTAAGGGTGATGCCCACCTTAGTGATGAGGAGATCAAGGCAGTGACTGAGCAAGCGCTTGCTTTCTACAAGCTTACTGAAGAATTTCTCCTTGCCCATCCTCAGCTATGTGCCTAAATAAAGCTTCAAGTGTTATCCATCTTATTATAGTACTTGAGTAAATATCCTATGCAAGCCAACTAATTTACTGCTTGTTTCTGTGAAATAAGGCTTGTAATAATAAGCATTTCAGTGTTGTTTATGTATCTCATATGGTTCCCATATTCAAAATTTATGCATCCTTTTCCAGAACCAAATTTCATTAAGTAATCCAAATGTAATGACACCGAAAAACGAGATGAAACTTAATGCCCAACTGTAATTCTAGATAGCTCTGCATGTGGTGACTTGTGGCCAACTGAAAGTCGGTAACAAACGAGG